CCCGACTTTTTGAATTAAACCACGTCTCAGTTAAGGCAAATACATCAATGTTACCTACACTAGCAACTAATCTCAACTCGTCCATCTTATTCCTAGCACTACGGCAATTAGCATAATAAACATTGAAAGACTCTCCTTTCTCTTTACCCTTCCTGCTCATTTCTATTTTTCTACTAAACCTATTACTGTCCTTATCACCCAAGGTCCCTGGCTTTTCAATATCTATCTCGTTCTTATTATTACTAGTTCCCCTAGAACTCGTAATATTACTACACTGGGACTTCACTGCTTTCCTGCCAAAACCCATCGGCATAGCTGAGGAGGAAGGTGCCTCTGGAGAAAGGCAGGTGCACCAGCTGGTGCATCAGTACATTGAACAGGGTGGGACTAAGCACCCTGCCCTGTGGAGTGCCATTGTCCAGGGTCTTGAGAGAAGAGGCATGCCCTTTGAAGCGTACCCGGGCCTGCCTGTCCTGGAGATAGGCACGAAGCCATGAAAGCAGCCTGCCTTTAACCCCCCTGCGGGCCAAGAGTGAGAGGATGGCAGGTGCACTGGCTAGCTCAAAAGCTTTCTCAAGGTCAAGAAAGACAACAATGTGGGCTTGGGCGTCCTACCCAATGTCGGCCAGTAGGGTGGTAAGGCTTTCAAAAGTGCCCACTCCTCTGGTGAAGCCAGAGAGGTGTTTATGAGGAGGGCCAAGCTTCCACCTCAGGTGCTCCAATACCATCCTTTCAGACACCTTCAAGATGCAACTGGTGAGGGAGATGGGTCTCACACTGCCAGGATCCCCAGGCTTAGGAATTGGTATGATGTCAGCCTCCTTCCATACGACAGGGAGTTTGCCAGCTCGCCAAGTCCGGTTGACGACCCCCAGAACAGCTGAATGTCCAGAATGGCCAGACCGAATGATCATGCCATAGGTGATACCATCATGCCCTGGTGCAGTGTCCCAATGAGATGTGAAGGCTGCCTGGAGCTCCTGGTCGGTGAAGTCTTCATCTGTGACGTCCTTAGCCTGGCATGCCACTTGAATCACCATCATCCTTCTAGGAAGGAGGGTCGCTTGGAGGTCCCGGAGATCCTGAAGCAGTTGAGCCATGGCCATTCTGGAGGTGAAAAGGTCCACCAGACGTTCTGCCTCCATTGCGGGTTCTGGGTGCAACCGAGCCACACCGCGACACTTCCCAGTGGCCAATCATAACTTGGTCCAAATCTCAGATAAGGTGGAGGAGTAGCTGAGGGAGGCACACCACTCGAACCATTTAGCCTGCCGAACTCTGTGTGAGACATGGCGTGCATGCCGCACCACTTCCCTGAGCAGATGCATGGACTCAACCATGGGATTATGCCTGTGCATCTTGCGTACGACGTTGATGCAGTGGTTCTGCTCCCTGATGTCCTCATTGTAAAACCACCAGTCACCTTTATATGACCCTCTGCCTGTAATCTTAGGTATGGCTGCCTCAGCTGCACATGTGAAGGCCACCTGCAAGCTCTGAGCCACCTCATCTGGGTCTTCCAGAAGAGGAGACTCTGCCCACCAGCACTCAATGGCCTCCTGGAAGCACTGTCAGTCGGCCTTTTTTAGATTCCATCTGGAGGTAGGTGTGGGGAGTGGGCACCGCTTGACCATCAGCATGGTGACCACTGCAAAGTGATCACTGATGAGACGGGGGTTGACCTCCCATCTCGCACTCGAGAGCAACCGCCTAGAGATGAGTGTGACGTCCAAGCGGCCACCGTAGTGATGGGTTGGCTCACCATTGTTGAGAAGGGCGATCTCAGGGCAGCCGCAAGGTGCTTCCCAGCTGCGTTGGTAGGAGAGACATCCCCAGCCACAACAAGACCCTCCCAGGGGGCGAGTGCTACCTCCTCTGAAATGTCAAGGGTGTACCGAGAGCTTCTGTAAATATTGTAAACCACGAGATGTCCATCCGGTAGGTGTAGGGTGGCAGCCTGAACCTCTACGCCCTCCCCACAGTTGATGGGGTCAGTGGAGATTGAATGAGGGACAGTGGTCCTGACGTAGATCACCGTGCCCCTGCCAGTCCCTTCCAGGCGCTGAAGGTAGGCCGAGAATCCTGGGATACGTGGCTGCATTTGATGTGATGAATTGGTAAGTGTCTCCTGGAACAGGAAGACATGAAACTTATCCTGAACTGCAGCTTCAATCACTAAGTGAATTTTCCACTGCAGCCTGCAAATGTTCCACTGGAGGATCTTCAAGGGCCGCAGAGGTGGCCCTCTGATTCTGTCTCTGCCTGGGACTCTCCGCCCATTGTTGGCGGCTCCAGGGCCTCCTCCATCACAGACTGGAAGGACTCCTGGATGATGGCTTGAAGTTCCATTGAGTCCTTCCTGTCCAGTAGGACCACGCCCAGCATCCATGACAGGAGCTGTCTGCAGGCGCCCCTGTCCTCCGCCGACGGCAGCAGGTGACAGAGGAGCACTGAGATGACCTCGATGGTTTTCTTCAGTCGATCGGGAAATGATTCGACCATTACCTCTGCAGGCATTGAGCTGGACGACCCGTCGAGTCGGGGCTGGGTCACTGGGTATGTCTGGGTGGCTGTTGACACTGCAGCAGCATAAGCTGGGTGCACCCTGGGCCCGGCCTGAGTGGCTATGGGCTTCTGGGTCCCCCAGCAGGGAACCTCTGCCTTACTCTGGCCGCTCACAGTACGGGCCTGCCCTTGGGAAGAGGCCTGCTGGCAGGATGGCAAGGAATGTTAGTTCCCAGCTGGGACCTGCTGGGCAGTGTGCCTGGCCTGTGGCTGTTTTTCCCATTGATTCTGTCTTCTCGGCCACCTTGCCATCTGACCTCGTAGTTGACCGCGCTGCTGCAAGCCAATGCATGCCCCCTGATGCCACTGCTGGGAGCCCATTGCCGAGAACTCGCTGGCATTGCCCTCCCGTGGTTGGAGCCAATACCGACTGTTGCTGAGTGGTTCCAAGGCTGGGTGGCGTCGGGGCTGTCGGGTCGTTTCGATGACGAACCTGCTGCCAGTGCTGCACCATCACAGGACAGCTCCAGTTCCAGGCATGGTGCCTCTTTGAGCAGTTGGCACACTTGGGCTCTGGCCGAAGGGCTTTGCCGGTTGGCTGTTTGAGGATTGCAATGCAGTCCTTCGAGTCGTGTGCCTTGCTGCACACATCGCACTTCTTCTCTCGCTGCCAGGTGGCTGCAATATGATTGAACCCCTGACAGTTGAAGCATTGTACTGGGCCCGACAGGTATGGTCGGGTCTTGAATCTTCCCCAGACCCCAAGGTCCAGATGCATGGGAAGCGGACCTTTGTGGTGGATCAGCACCTGGCAGGTGGGCACCTTGTTCACCGTAGCAGTGAGTCGCTCTGTCCTGACAATATTGGGCACTTCCAAAATGGGGTCCAGTGGGAGGGGCACAGGGACGTTTAAGAGCACCCCCTTGTACACCTTCTCCGAAGCAACCAATTCCATCATGCTGGGATGCGTCACAACTAGCCCCTTCAACTCCTCGTAAGAATCCTCGACTCGAGGAATGACCAGAACCTCGTTCCTGAGAGTGAACTCGCAGCAGAACTTGAGGCGGGGTAGACTTTCCAGATACCTTACAAACTCGTAATCGGGAACCTTGAATTTGTTGAAGGCCCTGGTTGCTTGTGCCCGAGCTGAGCGGGAATTCCTTCTTCCACGTGGAGTCAGGCAGTCCCCATCCACTGTGGAAGCCGACGCAACTGGGGTAGGGACCTGGGATGGCTCTATCCTTGCCAGTTGAGGAGCTACAGTCTCCTGGCTTCCTTCCACGATCCCTATGGCCATCTGGGGGTGCAAGTCTCCTTGGGTAGCGGCTGCCGACGGATCTAATGGCAGATTGGCAGATACAGGAATCTCCACTGCATCCTTGGCCTTCTTGGTGGGGGCTACCACCTGCCCCACGTCGTCCTCCAACTCGTCCCCGCATTCCAAGGAACGTTTAGGCCGCTCTCCTGGGTCTGTCATGGTGACTGTAGGTGTGGGGACAGAGCCAGCAGCGGAGCTGCTGCTTGTGACCTCACAGCCGCCCACACTGGGTGCAGAGCTGTGAGGCTCAGTGCCCCAGTCGGGGCCCGTAGCCACCCTTACGTGGCTCACTGCCCTGAAACACTAAACACAGTCCAAGGACCACTAGAAACGTCGCCAATCTGTGCGTAAACTAACACAGATATATACTCCAAGCGAACACAACACACTCTCTGTCCTACGATCTCCTTTCTACACCAGTGTTCCGTATCCAATCTCGATCAGAATCGTGTGTATCACCGGCAAAAGCTGGTATGTTTTTCCTCACCAGCTCCCACCATCTCAGTCTGCCTGGGAAATTGAATCACATTTTTACTATGTAAATTTTTAACTTTCCTCTTAACAAACTAAATACACTGTAGAGCAAACTGGTTATACATTTCCAATCTTCAATTGGTTATACGTTTCTGTTCTTCAACTGGCTATATATATCTCTCTATTCTTTAGTGTTTCTGATATCTATCTCATAAATCGATGAATTAACCAAGTTATCTGCCAGTCCTTGAATCGTCACAGTGTTTCAGAAAATGTTATGCTAACAAGTGTGTAAATAAGATGCATGTTAAACGTTGGGTAACTTCAATGAGGTTATGTTTGTACTAATAAATTCCCTGGCGGGCGAAACGTATCCTCTTTAAATTTTCCTGATGTTGCACTTGTGCCTTGTCTATCCAGTGTTATCGAGTCAGCGTTTAGACAGAGCTCTGTAGAATGATACATCTTCCAGTACATTGTGGAAAGGTCTTGCCTTCAGAACAAACGTGTCTTAATCTGACCTTAACTGTCGCATCACCTCCATGTGCATGGATCTTACTTCTGGCATTCTTTATTTATTCTCGCTTGCATCTTGACAAGAGATCAAAATTGGTAAGAAAAATTAACAAATTTTCATCTTCAGGTTGTCGGTTGTTTACTGCAAAATTCCATCTTTCTAGTTTGGTCATTGTTTTTCCCACAGCTCACGACAACGTGAAGGTGTTCATCACTCACTGTGGTCTCCTCAGCTTGCAAGAATCAATCTATCACGCCACGCCACTCGTCGCTCTTCCAATCTTCGGTGACCAGCCCAAGAATGGCATGTTTGTTAAGAATTCTGGTCTGGGAGACTCTTTAGTGTGGGAAGAGCTGACTGTGGACATGATCGTTGACACTCTTACCAAAATTACCAGCGATCCCAAGTAAGGGCATATTACAGTTTTAGTTTAAGCAAAACGGTTTGATTTAATGAGCAACACTCATAATTGACAAATAACCCAGTCATAGAAGAGAGGAGCTTACGACAACGTTTCTTTCCTACTTGGACCATTTACAAAGTCACACTAACAAAAAGGAGAGGAGGAGGGGAATATATAGGCAGGTGGTGGTAGTAGTAGTAGTAGTAGTAGTAGTGGTGGTGGTGGAGGTAGAAGGTAGTTGTAGTGGGGAAGGTAATAAGGAGGAGGAGGAGCTAGTCAAATACTAAGAAAGAGGAGCACTGCAAGGGAGCCAGGTGCCCGCAGAGGGTAAGAGCAAGAACACAGAGGGAGGGGGGGGAAATAAATAAATAAGTAATGAAGGGACAAATACACAAGGCAGAATAAAGATAACCCAAAGGAGAAAATGGAAAGAGGAAAGGGGAAAGAGAGAGAAGAAAAAGAAGGAATCAGGTTAAGTCACGGGTGTTCTGAAATTTTTAGCATTTTACAATGTAGTGAGAGAGGAAGGCATCTACAGAGATGAAGCCAGGACTAAGATTCATACAAGGAAAGCTGTATATTAGGGAGGATTCAACCAGACGGCGACTGTTAAAGTTGGAAGTAGGGAAGACAGTTTTAGCAGACCAGTCATTAGGATGACTGTGATCTCTGACGTGACAGAAAAGGGCATTGTTAGTGTCGGCAAGCCTAACACTACTTTTGTGCTCCCTAAGTCTGTCAGAAAGAAATCCGCCAGTTTCTCCAACGTATTGAAGAGGACATGAAGAACAAGAAATAGAGTAGACACCAGGGGCATCTGTAGAGGGAGGAGAGGTATGAAATAGATTAGTGCGAAGAGTGTTAGTCTGGTGGAAAGTAAGTTTGATGTCTAAGGAACGGAGAGAATTGTTGAGATTAGAAAGACCGGAAATACAGGGAAGGCAGAGGACAGAAGAGTTCCCAGGAGTAGAAAGTTTGGGTTATTTGTGTATCTTCCCAGTCACGGTACTGTGCCTTTTTTTTTGGTGTTGTTTGTGTGATAATATCTTGAAGCAGAACATGCGGATTTTTTGTTTTCCAGAAGCATACACCACGACATTACTGTAGCTATGTATTTCAGTACAAATTAATGTAATTCAAACAGTACAAAATAACCTGCACATAGAAGCTTGTGACGACGTTTCGGTCCGACTTGGACCATTTACAAGTCGCACTAACACACGAAGGTGAAGGAGTCAATGTATATAAGAGACGAGGAAAGGGATGTGACAGAGAAAGTTGTAGAAATATCGAAGCAAAGAAGTAGTGGTAGAGAAAATGTTGATAGTAGAAGTAGTAGTGGTAGTAGAAGTAAGCTGGTGGAAGTAGTGGTAGTAGAAGTAAGCTGGTGGAAGTAGTGGTAGTAGAAGTAAGCTGGTGGAAGTAGTGGTAGTAGAAGTAAGCTGGTGGAAGTAGTGGTAGTAGAAGTAAGCTGGTGGAAGTAGTGGTAGTAGAAGTAGAACTGGTGGAAGTAGTGGTAGTAGAAGTAAGCTGGTGGAAGTAGTGGTAGTAGAAGTAAGCTGGTGGAAAGTAGTGGTAGTAGAAGTAAGCTGGTGGAAGTAGTGGTAGTAGAAGTAAGCTGGTGGAAGTAGTGGTAGTAGAAGTAAGCTGGTGGAAGTAGTGGTAGTAGAAGTAAGCTGGTGGAAGTAGTGGTAGTAGAAGTAAGCTGGTGGAAGTAGTGGTAGTAGAAGTAAACTGGTGGAAGTAGTGGTAGTAGAAGTAAGCTGGTGGAAGAAGTGGTAGTAGAAGTAAGCTGGTGGAAGTAGTGGTAGTAGAAGTAAGCTGGTGGAAGTAGTGGTAGTAGAATTAAGCTGGTGGAAGTAGTGGTAGTAGAAGTAAGCTGGTGGAAGTAGTGGTAGTAGAAGTAAGCTGGTGGAAGTAGTGGTATAGAAGTAAGCTGGTGGAAGTAGTGGTAGTAGAAGTAAGCTGGTGGAAGTAGTGGTAGTAGAAGTAAGCTGGTGGAAGTAGTGGTAGTAGAAGTAAGCTGGTGGAAGTAGTGGTAGTAGAAGTAAGCTGGTGGAAGTAGTGGTAGTAGAAGTAAGCTGGTGGAAGTAGTGGTAGTAGAAGTAAGCTGGTGGAAGTAGTGGTAGTAGAAGTAAGCTGGTGGAAGTAGTGGTAGTAGAAGTAAGCTGGTGGAAGTAGTGGTAGTAGAAGTAAGCTGGTGGAAGTATGGTAGTAGAAGTAAGCTGGTGGAAGTAGTGGTAGTAGAAGTAAGCTGGTGGAAGTAGTGGTAGTAGAAGTAAGCTGGTGGAAGTAGTGGTAGTAGAAGTAAGCTGGTGGAAGTAGTGGTAGTAGAAGTAAACTGGTGGAAGTAGTGGTAGTAGAAGTAAGCTGGTGGAAGAAGTGGTAGTAGAAGTAAGCTGGTGGAAGTAGTGGTAGTAGAAGTAAGCTGGTGGAAGTAGTGGTAGTAGAAGTAAGCTGGTGGAAGTAGTGGTAGTAGAAGTAAGCGGTGGAAGTAGTGGTAGTAGAAGTAAGCTGGTGGAAGTAGTGGTAGTAGAAGTAACTGGTGGAAGTAGTGGTAGTAGAAGTAAGTGGTGGAATGTAGTGGTAGTAGAAGTAAGCTGGTGAAGAGTGTGTAGTAGAAGTAAGCTGGTGGAAGTAGTTGGATAGTAGAAGTAAGCTGGGGAAGTAGTGTGTAGTAGAAGTAAGCTAGTGGAAGTAGTGGTAGTAGAAGTAAGCTGGTGGAAGTAGTGGTAGTAAAGTAAGCTGGTGGAAGTAGTGGTAGTGCAAGAAGAAGTCTGGGGAAGTAGTGGTAGTAGAAGTAAAGTCTGGTGGAAGTAGTGGTAAGTATAAGTAAGCCTGAGTGGAAGTAGTGTAGTAGAAGTAAATGGTGGAAGTAGTGTAGTAAACAGAACAAGCTGTTCGAAGAAGTGAGTCTAGTAACTGTGCAGAGAGACAGTAAAAGTAGCCTGCGGGGTAGTAAGCTGGTAGTAGAAGTAAGTTTCTGGTGGAAGTAGGTAGTAGAAGATAAGCTGTGGAAGTCCTAGTGGTATAGAGTAAGCTGGTGGAAAGTAAGTGGTATCAGAAGTAAGCTGGTGAGTAGATGTGTAGAAGTAACATGTGTTAGAGTGGTTTGTAGAAGTAAGCTGGTGAAGTAGTGTTAGTATGCAGTAAGCTGTGAAGATGGTAGATAAAGTAAAGTGGTGGAAGTTAGTGTAGTAGAAAGAAAGTTTCTGTGCAAGTAGTGGTAGTAAAGTACTGGTGGAAAGTAGTGTAGTTGAAGTAAGCTGGTGGCAAGTAGTGTCAGATAGAATAAGCTGCCTGGAAGAGTGGTAGTATAAGTAAGCTGGTCGGAAGTAGTAGGTAGAGAAGTAAGCTGGTGCAGTAGTGTCAGTAAGAAGTAAGCTGGTGGGATATGGAGTTAAGTAAGCTGGTGGAAGTAAATGTTAGTAGTAGAAGTAAGCTTGTGGAAGTAGTGTAGTAAGTAAGCTGGTGGAAGTAGTGTAGTAGAAGTAAGCTGGTGAAGTAGTGGTAGAAAAGTAAGCTGGGGGTAAGTAGTCGGTAGTTAGAAGTAAGGGATGTGGAACAGTGGTTGTAGAAGTAAGCGGTGGAAGTAGTGGAATAGAATAAGTGGTGGGAATAGTGGTATAGAAGTAAGCTGGTGGAAGTAGTGGTAGCAGAAGTAAGCTGTGGAAGATATGGTAGTAGACGTAAGCTGGTGGAAGTAGTGGTAGTACAAGTAAGCTGGTGGAAGTAGTGATAGTAGAAGTAAGCTGGTGGAAGTAGTGTAGTTTGAAGTTAACTAGTGAAGTAGTGGTAGTAGAATAACTGGATAAGTAGTTTGTTAGTTTAAAGTAAGCTGGTGGAAGTAGTTGGTAGAAAGTAAGCTGTGGGAAATAGTGGTAGTAGAAGTAAGCTGGTGGAATAGTGGTAGTAGAAGGTAACAGTGAAAGTAGTGGTAGTAGAAGTAAGCTGGTGGAAGTAGTGGTAGTAGAAGTAAGCTGGTGGAAGTAGTGGTAGTAGAAGTAAGCTGGTGGAAGTAGTGGTAGTGGCACAGGAGGAAGAAAAGGTATTGAAGCGAGACAATAGTAGTAGTAGCAGTTTTTTTTTTCAAATCATTTAATTGGTTCAGTTCATTATTCCAGTTGAAGAACAAAATGTATATTTATAAGCTAGACAATAGGTTAGGTAAGACTCGTCAGGAAACAGAACAAGTGTTTCCTGACGCGGGTCTTAGTAAGACTCGTCAGGAAACAGAACAAGTGTTTCCTGACGCGGGTCTTAGTAAGACTCGTGCAGAAACAGAACAAGTGTTTCCTGACGCGGGTCTTAGTAAGACTCGTCAGGAATACAGAACAAGTGTTTCCTGATGCGGGTCTTGGGTAAGACTCGTCAGGAAACAGAACAAGTGTTTCCTGATGCGGGTCTTAGTAAGACTCGTCAGGAAACAGAACAAGTGTTTCCTGACGCGGGTCTTAGTAAGACTCGTCAGGAAACAGAACAAGTGTTTCCTGATGCGGGTCTTAGTAAGACTCGTCAGGAAACAGAACAAGTGTTTCCTGATGCGGGTCTTAGTAAGACTCGTCAGGAAACAGAACAAGTGTTTCCGACGCGAGTTTAGTAAGACTCGTCAGGAAACAGAACAAGTGTTTTTCCCGACGCGGGTCTTAGTAAGACTCGTCAGGAAACAGAACAAGTGTTTCCTGACGCGGGGCTTTTGTAAGACTCGTCAGGAAACAGAACAAGTGTTTCCTGACGCGGGTCTTAGTAAGACTCGTCAGGAAACAGAACAAGTGTTTCCTGACGCGGGTCTTAGTAAGACTCGTCAGGAAACAGAACAAGTGTTTCCTGACGCGGGTCTTAGTAAGACTCGTCAGGAAACAGAACAAGTGTTTCCTGACGCGGGTCTTAGTAAGACTCGTCAGGAAACAGAACAAGTGTTTCCTGATGGGGTCTTAGTAAGACTCGTCAGGAAACGAACAAGTGTTTTCCTGATGCGGGTCTTAGTAAGACTCGTCAGGAAACAGAACAAGTGTTTCCTGATGCGGGTCTTAGTAAGACTCGTCAGGAAACAGAACAAGTGTTTCCTGACTCGGGTCTTAGTAAGACTCGTCAGGAAACAGAACAAGTGTTTCCTGACGCGGGTCTTAGTAAAAACTCGTCAGGAAACAGAACAAGTGTTTCCTGATGCGGGTCTTAGTAAGACTCGTCAGGAAACAGAAAAAAGTGTTTCCTGATGCGGGTCTTAGTAAGACTCGTCAGGAAACAGAACAAGTGTTTCCTGATGCGGGTCCTTAGTAAGACTCGTCCCGGAAACAGAACAAGTGTTTCCTGATGCGGGTCTTAGTAAGACTCGTCAGGAAACAGAACAAGTGTTTCCTGATGCGGGTCTTAGTAAGACTCGTCAGGAAACAGAACAAGTGTTTCCTGATGCGGGTCTTAGTAAGACTCGTCAGGAAACAGAACAAGTGTTTCCTGATGCGGGTCTTAGTAAGACTCGTCAGGAAACAGAACAAGTGTTTCCTGATGCGGGTCTTAGTCATATTATGACCCACAGCTGGAGCTTTTGGTCATCTGACGGAGGCCTTCCACTCACTTTTCCCTCCACCCCATTAAATATTAAGATTATTCACTTTTTTTTATTAGCTAGGCATAAATTTTCTTTTATAACATAATTTTTTTAAGAGTGTAGGATTTAAAACTCATATGTTTTTAAAGCTTTTATATAATTTAATTGTTCAGATTAGATTACATGAATTTCAACATTTTATCCCTGTTAATAATTTGATCATAAGTAAATTATTAGAACTGGGAAAATAATGTACACACTGTGATAATCATCGTTTATCATTATTATTATTATTATTATTATTATTACTATTACTACTACTTGTGCACAGGTATAAAGAAAATGTATTGAAGATGTCAGTGCCGCTGCGGGATCAGCCTGTACCGCCCACGGAACTGGCAGTGTTCTGGACGGAGTACGTCATCCGTCACAAAGGTGCGCCTCAGCTGAGGTCACCAGCGGCACAGCTCTCCTGGGTGGAGTTCCTCATGCTGGACGTGATCTTCCTCCTCCACCTGACTGTCTTCATCACCTTCTTTATATTACGTCGAATACTAAGAGCCATGTGTTCTATAACTTTTGGTAGTGAAGAAAAAGCGAAGAAGAAGAAGAAGAAGAAAAACTAAGAATACTCACTTATATAAGAATTAGTAAGATATATTCGCTAAATGAGAAAATCTTTCGTAAATAGTATTGTAGATTTGTATATTGAGCATGACTCACGAAATCGTAATAACAAGATTGAAAGCAAATCACGAAATAGGTGAGGTTTGAACTCACGGCAAGTAATCCTTATGACTAAGTTTTAGGACTTGCCTTGGGTTCTGTCCCTACCATTTCCGTGGTTTGTATACTCAACATTCATTACCGACAAAAAAACTGCAATACCCCCAGTTCTTCAGTTTTAATAAATCATTCAACACAAAAATTAAGTAATGAAGATAAAGCTGTAATTAAAACTCAACTTATATGAGAGAAAATACAGGTTGACTCACAGGCAGCCAGATAATTTTGTGAACAAATTTTTAATGAACATTAGACCATGTTTGGTAGTAGCATTTTATCTCCCTTTGATAATCTCGTTTAACTGTATATGTTTTTTCTCGGGTGTTCTTACTCTAGAATCTCGTTTACCATATTTTCCAGCATGTAAGGTAAACGATCACATAAGACAATATTTCCAAGCTGTTGTAATGTAACGTTAGACAACATCTGAACTGTAACCTTGAGACGCAGACTAATTTTAAAGTCTTTTTGTGAGAAAAAAGCGCGCCTTATATGCCAGAAAATACGGTAATTAAACGTCAGTATAACTTGTGAAGTAGAAGGCAAAATGATGCTGATTGATGTGGTAGTTCAAATCTGTATTTCCACAATATTTTGCTCATAAGAGACATCTTCTAATACATGACTGGAAAACGGGTCACTTGTGAATGAAATGCTGTTCGTATAGAACCTTGCATGTTGCATGTTCTTGAAGTTGGTGAAGCGTTCATAAACCGACGACATAGAACTACCTCTTTATCGAATTAAGCTGCTGCTGCTTTTTCTTGTATCGATTATGAACGTAAATAAGCATGTTTATGGTGTAACTTGCAATATGAACAGACTGACTGATGTTAAAGTGGTCAGGTTTAGCCTTCACTACGAGTACTTCTGATAGTTTGGAAGTCACTCAGATGATGATCAGACCAAATGCAAAGTATGTGGCCAGGCCTATGGTCACTGTCTTGAACACTATGTGCTTAATTGTCCACTTATTGAGGAATATAGAGATAATATAATAACCTATGTAGCATGTCGAGATATTTTAATGAAAATAAGATACCAGATATATTAAGCAAATTTCCCAAATTTGACTCACGAAATCGTAATGACACGATTGCAAATTTGCTTGTAACAGATAAGTGAGCAGTAGTTATAAATCGAAGTATACTGCTATTAACCCTCTTTGGGCCTAGTTACTAATAATTTAATATAATAATATCTTTATTTACTACAAGTACATGTACAAGGTATACAGACATCAGTGACATACTACTATATAGAAAGCACCTTGTTATGCTGAGAATTTCTGGTAAATTACGTCAGTTTTGTCCCAGGATGCGACCAACGCCAGTCCACTAACACCCAGGTGCCCATTTTACTGATGGGTGAACATAGACAACCAGTGTAAAGAAACATGCCCAATGTACCTACCCTCGCTGGGAATCGAATGCAGACCCTTGCCGTGTGAAGCGAGAGCCTTAGCTACCTGGCCAAGGGACACCGGGCCTTTTGTGTATCCATATGCTCATGGGTTACTATACACACGATGTATATGCTCCTGGGCTACCATACACACGATGCATATGCTCCTGGGCTACCATACACATGATGTATATGCTCATGGGCTACTATACACACGATGTATATGCTCCTGTGCTACCATACACACGATGTATACGCTCCTGTGCTACCATACACACGATGTATATGTTCCTGGGCTACCATACACACTATGCATATGCTCCTGGGCTACTATACACACGATGTATATGCTCCTGTGCTACCATACACACGATGTATATGCTCCTGTGCTACCATACACACGATGTATATGCTTCTGTGCTACCATACACAGGATGTATATGCTCCTGGGATACCATACACACGATGTATATGCTCCTGGGCTACTATACACACGATGTATATGGTCCTGATTTATAGACCCCCAAAGTTTGATAGAGAGTGCAGTAAGCTGCTATGGGACGAAATTCACAAGGCGTCTAATATGAAATGTTAATTTAAAAAGATTTTAACCTTAGACACATTGATTGGAACAATATGACAAGAAATCTTGAGTCTAGTGAATTTCTTGATGAGGTTCAGGATTGCTTTTTAAATCAGTTAATGACAGAATTAACTAGAGGAAACAACCAGCTTGACTTGTTTCTTGCCAACAAAGAATCACTAAATAATAATCTTGAGATTAATGATGAGCTTGGGGAAAGTGCTCACAAATCACTTAGTTTCAATATATCATGGAATTACCCAGATGACTTCAATCAAGTCTCTGTCCCAGACTTCCGCTTGGCCGATTTCATGGGACTGAGAAATCACCTGGGAGGGCTAAATTGGGATGTCCTAACTATGGGTCAGGTAGGTGATCTTGGTTGCCAATATGACTTATTTCAAAGCATAGTTCTAGCTGCCCAGACAACTTTTGTTCCGAGTAGGGAAATTAGATCTTACAAAAATGATCCCAAATGGATAAAAAATAGATTAAAACATCTCACTGGGCAAAATAAAGACATATATAGGCGTATCAAAAGAGGGGATGGGCAGTTAAGAAAGCAATATATTCAATTAAAGAGGGATACAAAAAAAGGAATAAGAAAAGCTAAAAGGGATTATGAGGCTAAAGTCACAAGGGATTCGAAGACTAACCCAAAATATTTCTTTCAGGAATACAGAAGTAAGATTAGGGACAAGATAGGCCCACTTAAGAGTAACTCAGGTCAGATTACTGACAGGTATAAGTAAATGTATGCACTTTAAAACACTTAATTCCTCTCATCTTTTACTCAGGGAGATACTAACCAAATTCCAGAAATAAATTATGTAGAACAGGACGATAATAAACTATGCACTATTAGGGTAACTAGTGACATGGTCCTCAGACAAATAGAGAAATTAAAACCTAATTTCACCAATATTCAAAACACTAAACCTACTCACCATACAAAACATCCATACTTATTACTGCACCTTCTACATTCATAGAACACTTAAAGGCTGCCTATCGTGTGAGTGATTTATGGAGCGGTGTGTTACTATTTTATTTCTTCCACATTGTAGCCATGATTATCTTCTCAGGTCATCCGATGCAGATATAAGATAAGGGAGAAGTGATCAGACATGTCAGACGTCGCTACACCTCTCTACCTACACTGCCTCCCGCCCCCCTTCACACATCACCGAACACCCAGTCAGCTACACACCAGCATTCTTCATGCTGTAAGTACACCAGTGTTCATGGTGTATCTTGACTGGCTACTTACTGGCTTCAACAGAACGGTAGTGGTCAGAGGGTAAGTCAACCTCTCCTCTGTAGAATATATGAACGTGTTGAGGACACCGTCTACTGTTTAGCAACGACCAGCTGTGACCCTCCCTGCCCCAATTATCATTGCTTTAAGTTCCAGAATTATTTAAATTTATGTACCTAGAACATCCTCATGGCAGCACTCTACACCACTTTAATTTCTTGTGTACATATTAGCTTGGAATCACTAATTATGCATTTCATTTTTCGTAAAGGATTTAAATGTTTAATATTTAACGATGTTTATTATAATAAAATTATTTATCATATGTTATTATTGAATTTTCTACCTTTCTTTCAATAAGGAGAAACCAGCCTTGACAAATACTCTCAGAAGGCTGACTGAACCTCCACAATGTTCCTAAAGTCTGTTATCCGAGAAAGGTATCAAAGTATTGATAAGTAGGACACAAGTGCTACTAATATGACATTTTATTGTGGCAACGTTTCGCTCTCCAGACTTCAGCACCTCACTGTATGTCAAGTGATTAGTGGAGAGTGCAGCATAAGTTTTTAAAGCAGTTAAATATTAGCACTGAACTCACAAAATCGTAATAACACGATTGTAAACAAACCATACCACGTAGAAATACACCTAGTTGGATGACACTTACTGAAGCTAGCTGGCCCAGTGGATAACGCGACGGTCTGGAGTTTTGAGACTCTCTGATTGCGGTTCAAACCCCACCCGTGGTATGGCTTATTAGCAATGAAGATTTAAAGAAAATCAGATTTGGTAATCTTAAGTTATCACATGGACAAACAGATGTTTTACATATAGAACATGTAAATTTATATCCATTCTGTAATATGGTGACCAGAACTGTGCAGCATAATCTAAGTGGCCTAACCAAAGATATATAGAGTTGAAGAACAACCTGAAGACTTCTTGATATGAAGCCAAGGATTCTGTTACCTTTATTGGTAACACTTATGCAATGTTGTCTTGATTTCAGATTACTACTAACCAGTACACCTAAATCCTTTTCTCAATCAGTAATATTAAGACCTACATTAATTAGTTTATATATGTCATGGTTATTTTCCAGTCCAACATTTAGAAATAAATAACAAAGGCACAATACCGTGACTGGAATAATACACAAATAACCCGCACGTAGAAGAGAGGAGCTTACGACAACGTTTCGGTCCGACTTGGACCATTTACAAAGTCACACTTTGTAAACGGTCCAAGTCGGACCGAAACGTCGTAGTAAGCTCCTCTCTTCTATGTGCGGGTTATTTGGGTGTCAACATTTAGAACTTTGCATGTGTCTATATTAAACTGCATCTGCCACTTCTCCGACCACTGCATCGGTCTATTTAAATCATCCTGGAGTGCTCTAATGTCCTCATTAGAAAGATTTGGACGGCCTCTTTTTGTGTCATCAGAAAATTTTGCTCATGTCGCTATTTATTCCCTCATCTATGTCGTTAATGCAAATTGTGAACAACAAGGGGCCCAACACTGACTCTTGTGGAACACCGCTTGTGACGTCCCCCCCATTCTGATTTATTCCCATTAATACATGCCTCTACTCAGGAACAAAATTTCTCCTATTCCGTGTGCCTTAAAGCAATGATGCTTGGGGCAGGGAGGGTCACAGCTGGTCGTTTCTAAACAGTAGACGGTGTCCTCAACACGTTCATATATTCTACAGAGGAGAGGTTGGCTGATCCTCTGACCACTACCGTACTGCTGAAGCCAGTAAGTAGCCAGTCAAGATACATCATGAACACTGGTGTACTTACAGCTAGAAGAATGCTGCTTGAATGGTGTGTAGCTGATTGGGTGTTCGGTGATTTGTGAAGGGGGGGGGGGAGTCAGTGTAGGTAGAGAGGTGTAGCGACGTCTCTGATATATGTCTGATCACTTCTCCTTTATCTTATATCTGCATCGGATGACCTGAGAAGATAATCAAGGCTACAATGTGGAAGAAATAAAAATAGTAACACACCGCTCCATAAATCACTCACACGATAGGCAGCCTTTAAAGATTTGTGGTATTATTTATAAGGATGACATGGTTGCGGCGCGGGTGGAAAACTCGGATAGGTTATTGGAAAGGATCGTGGGGCGTCTAGGTGTTCTGAGACCCCAGCACCTAACTCTTATACAGCGAGTGATAGTCGTAAACATTTTATTGTATAGTAAGATTTGGCATGTTGCAGCTGTGTTCCCAATTACAGGGACAGCGATTGCGGGAATTCTAAGTCGGGTGTACAAATTTTTGTGGGGTTCACGTTGTGATTGGTTACGGAGGGAAGTTGTAATGTTACCTGTAAGTCAGGGTGGGTTGGGGTTGATGGATTTGAGACGGAGGGCTAAATGTGTGTTTATTAAATGGGAAGTGTTGTGTGAGGGTGTGAACGCAGGGCAGTTGGGAAGGATACACGACAGGCTGGGTGTGTGGTATCGAGGAATGGAGTTGAGGGAATGCGAAATCGTTTTGAGGGCTGTGATGTTGGTTAGGGAACTGAGAAAGGTTCGTATAAGGGTTTTGTGTAGGTTACTTGTAGGTAGGTGCGTTATCCCAGTTGAGGGTTTGTTCCCCATGTATGCGTGGAAGAGTATTTGGTTTAGATTTAGTATAATGAAGTTAAACCCTCGGGCGCGTGAGGTGATGTTTCGTTTCTTGCATGGGATCCTTCCATCTGGTGAGATACTACGAAACAGACAGGTTGTAGAGGGTGGGGGATGTGGTATCTATGGAGGGGATGAGACTGCGTTCCATGTAGTTTACTTTTGTGAAGGGCTAGAGGAGGTTAGGTGCTGGTTAAGTAGGTTGGTACAGAGGGTGGGGGGCCGTGGGTTCTGCGTCTAGATATGGGTGGGTTAGACGAGGGTGTCATAAGAGCTTTAGATTATATCATGGTAGATTATATATATATGTCGTGGGTGATGAGGGGGAGAGGGGATAGTGAAGGGCGAAGGAAGGTTCTTGCGGTAACGTTCTATCGTACGATGTGTCGTAACAGAGATTTGTATGGGAGGAGGTGGGATCAGGCTTTCTCAGAGGGGTATAGAATGCTAACGTTAGGGATTCTCGTAAATCTGTGATTGATAATGAGTGAGTGAAGGGGTTTTCATAGGTTGGAGGGAGTCAGGGGGTCACAACGGGCTCGCCTCCCTTGGGGGGTGGAGTCGTGAGAGTGCTGTGAATGTGGGTTTTGGAAAGGTTTTCTGGTTTTCATTGAGACTTTATGGCATCCAAGTGTGGATGTAGAGCTCAAGGTCTCGTTATGTTAGATATAACACTTTTCAGAATGTAGGTATAATATAGTAGGTTTTTTTTATGTATAATTTTGATGTGTATCAGTCTTGTATGACACGATTCTTGAGGAATAAGTTCTTTGCGACAGGAAGTGTGTTTTAGTTTGTCTTTATGTTACGTGCTGAGTTTTTGCATGATGAGATATACTTAGATACTGTTTTGCTTTGTGCATACAGTGCATCTGATTAATGTGATGTTGTGAAAATTTTTGTGTACGTGTGTGTGTGGGTGTGTGTGGGTGTGTGTGGGTGTGTGTGGGTGTGTGTATATATATATATATATATATATCCCTTTCTAATGTATTGAGCCTTTGTCATGGGTCAGACGTTATGTAATACTTTATGTATGTATGATTCGATTCTTTTTAAAGTTTATAATTCTGTTCTGTACCCTGATACCGGTTTGGTGTCAATGCTAAGTTCTTGATGTTAAGTTTTAATCTGTATGGTATACAGACATATCTAGACAGTTTGTTTTTTTCGTATGTTGGTATATGTAAAGCTGTATTGTTAGGGATACGTATGTAGATGTTCTAGTAAGATTATGATGTTAGGTTTTGGTTTTTTGATTAATGCGAAGGATGGGATTTAACTGATATAACTTCTCTGTATATTTTATGTTCAAGTGTATTGAGCCTTTGTCAGATGTCATGTTATATGTACAAGTTATATATATGCAAGGTTTTGCATCAATGAATGTGTATATATGTCAATTCATGACCCTGTGACAGTATTTTTTTTTTAGCTATGTTCTTGCCGTAAGTTATTATTGTATGTTTTTGCAGCAATATCTTGCTAGCATATAGGTGAAATCTGTTTGTCAGATAATTTAATTGAGATCCATACTGTTTCTTTATTTTTATGTTAAACTGTATTGGTTTTAAATAAAATATAAAAAAAAAAAAAACTACCGTTTTTGTAACCACTTAGGCTTTTCAAACATTTTGCAACATTTGATATATTACACTTCTATCAACCTTATTCTTTTTCCAAATAATGTGACAAAAATTCCTGTTTTTTGTTTAAGTGTTATTCACTTACATAATTCTTTGTAAACATTTGGTCTACACATCCACTGCTATTCTAAAATCCTTCTTGTTTTTCTACGATCCCAAAACCTCTCTTACCTCCAACCCTTCTTATAAGTAGAAGTGAGGGAAAAGTTCCTTAGATAGGAGTATTGAAAGTATAAATGTATGGCAATGGTAGTTTCGTGAGTAGTATGCCTGTTCTGTGAGGATGGGTGTGTAGTTCCTGCTATCCCCCCCTTAAAGACATCGCCCATTCTTTAACAACATTACATCTCCCCCCCACACCCCCCGCCCAAGAACCCAACCCGATGCACCTTGACTTCGCACTATTTACCTGCATACCCGTGGCACTTCCAAATAATTGCACAACCTCGTCCAACACTCCCATTGACATCCCTTCACGAATAAGAACAGTGGTGTCGTCAACGTATCCAATTAAACCCGGCCAGGCCCTCCCACCCCCCACACTTCCCGCACATGGCGTACATAAGCTGCGGTCAACCATTCTATAAAAGGGGTCCTGGAAACATGCAAACAATATTTGTGACATGGGGCATCCCTGTCTAAGGCCTCTACCCATTGCAATATCCCTCCCCATACACCCATTAATCTGTATCCTCATTTTCGCCCCCTTGTATAACGTATTTACCCACTCGACTATTTCCTCCCCAAAACCCTGTCTCCTAAGTATAACCTGCAAAGCTCCCCTTTCCACTCTATCATATGCTCCCTGCCAATCTAGAGCCAACAAAGCTGCCCCTTCACCCCCACCCTTAGCTTCCACAAAACTTCTCAGTATCCCATGTCCTTCAGTCATCGACTTCCCGGCAACCCAAACTGAGATTTTGACACGACCCTTCCCACAACACCTTTGAACCTATTACCTAAAATTTTTGCGAACACCTTATAGTCTGCACACATCAGTGATATGGCTTGGTACTCCCGAAGGGTGGGCTGCCCCTTGACCTTTGGGACCAACACTACAACTGCTGTTACCTGCTTCTCCCCCAACTTACCCTTCTCCTTCATACGATTAAATAACCTAACTATAAATCCCCTTATTAACGTCCAATGTTGTAAATAAAATTCTACTGGGAGACCGTCAATACCCGGCGCTTTCCCCTTCCTCATTCCCCTTAATGCATTCTCTATTTCATCTGCCGTAATAGTCCCACCTAAAGCCTTTCTATCACTATTTCCTAAATTACACGTCACATACGTACACACCTTGTCCAACGCCATGTCACCCACCCCCCCACTGTTCCAGTACTTCTCGTACCAAGCCTCCGCATACGCACACATCCCCTTCATGGTTCGTATCTCCTGCCCTGCTCTATAATTCCCAACCATCTCCGTTACCTCTAAACATGGAATAGCTGTCACCGCCTGCCTTTGCTTTTGATGCCGCAAAACACAAGCTGACGGCTTGTCGCCCCAAAGCACTTCTTCCACCCCTGCCTGCACCCTTACAGCTTGAAACCTTTCATTTTGCAACACCCTCAACCTCCCCTTTATTTCAGCTATTTCATCCATAGGAAAATTATTCCCCCCACCCCCCCCCATAGCAACCTCTTAACCTATCCTCTAAATAGTTAGCCAGTCCATATTTTAAATTATTAATACGTTTTCCTTCTCTCATATAAAACTTTCTAATCCTTTCTTTTGCAACACAATCCCACCATGTCACAATGTCATCCACTCCCTGTTCTTCCACACTAAGCTCCCTCCATAGGACTGAAAACCCCTCCAACCCCTCCTCATCACCTAACACACTTATATTTAATTTCCAATAACTTCTATATATGTCCGCGAGCGTCCCCCACCCAACCTCTACCACCACTGCCCTATGATCTGACATTGTAGCCTCAACAGTACTGAAAGATTTCACATCCACTCCCTGAGAAAGGTACACTATCTAGTCTCGCAGCATATCCACTCCTAACAAACGTATATTCAGTCTCCCACACCGCCCCCCCGAAGGCATCACGTAACCTAACATCCCTTAATAAATCCCTAAGAGCCACAGACATATATCCAGCCCCTTTTGGGTCCACATCAGCCACCCTGATTACACTATTCCAATCCCCACCAACTATCGCCACCTCTGGCAGTGCACTTAAGAAAAACACAAGATCCTCACACACAAAATCATTCTTTACCTTTATGTTATTTTCTGCCGGCGCATACACACTCACAAAAGACACACGCTTACCCATCCACCACCCATCCACACGCAACACCCTCCCTCCCCCTCCTCCCTCGCTTCTCTGCAAAACAAACGGGCTCGTCTCCCTTATTAAAATTCCCACACCACCTTTTAGACGGGGGGATGGCAGGGTAACTACTCGAAATCCTGCCACCTCCAACACCCTACCCTCTTTAAAATTGTGCACCTGCAGGAACACAACATCCACTCTAGATTTATTCAGGAAATTAAGAAACCAATTTCTCTTCATACCGCTACATAACCCATTAACATTTACAGACATACACCTAAGGCCTATTAAAGTTTCCACCCCTGCTTCCTCTCATCACTCTTTACAACTCCAGAGCTTGAATTTAAGTTTGACACCTTCAGAGTGCTCTCTTTC